TCCTCCTCTTCCTCCTCCTTCTCTTCCGCTTCCTCTTCCTCCTCCTCCTTCTCTTCCGCTTCCTCCTCATCCTCCTTCTCTTCCTCCTCCTCCTCCTCCTTCTCTTCCGCTTCCTCCTCCTCCTCCTGGTGGCGTCTTGGAGGTCTCTTGAGGCGTCTTGGTGGGCTCTCGGGCCTTCTGGGCGACCAGGCGGCGCCCCGCCCGCCCGCGCGCAGGGCCCAAGAGGAGGGTCCAAGACGTCTCTTGGGGCCATCTTGGAGGAGATCGACAGGCCTCGGAACAAATTAGCGAACACTCATGCCAAATTCATCTGTCAACGCCTCCCCCCTCCCCCCAATGTTCAAAGTTGGCGGTGGGTCTGATGAGATGCACTTCGACCGCAGTGTTTTCCGAGCGTGCCAACATTGAGTTGGGGGGAGGGGGAGTGTTCAGTAATTGTTTCCCTCTACCGGATCAACAAAGGGGGTTCCTTAATTACGGTCCCCCCTCGGGAGCTCCCCACATCGCCTCTTGGAGCGCTCTTGGGCCGCTCTTGGAGCGCTCTTGGGCGCTCGTGGGGCCGTCTTGGGGCTATCTTGGGCCCCTTTGGGGGCTCTCTTGGGCCATCTTGGAGCTATGTTGTCGCCTCGGGTGGGCATCGGAAGCGCGAAGGCGAGAAAGCTAAAAACATTGATTTTTCGAAAGGGTGTTGAAGCATTTTGGCCTCTTGGGGGCATCCTTGGGGAGCTCTTTTGGACACTTGGAGCCATCTTGGGGCGGTCTTGGAGCGTCTTCGAGTATCTTCGGAGCCATCTTGAGGCATCTTGCGCTATCTTGAGCCGTCTTGGAGGCTGCCTTGGGCTCTCTGGGGCCCTCTTGGAGCCAACTTGGGCGAAAAACTACCCTCTCACACCTCCCCGCCCCTCCCGTCCAGGTCCACGGAGAGGGGGGGGGGGGAGGGGTAAACCCCTCCCCGAAGGGGAAGAGGGAAGGGTGGAAGAGGAAACGCCCTAAACCACCGACGCCCAGAGGGCTGGTGGGATTCTCAGGCGGGAGCCCCCTCCGTATGGGGTTCGCATGTCATGTTGGTAATCCGAGCTAGTCATCGGCACCGTGTAACTGTCGTCATTTGTTCGGCTCCTCTCGATTGAATACCAAGGAAGTCCCAGGCTGGAGCTTCGTCTGTGAGTGAAGTGCGAGGAAGTCACAGGCGGGCGCCCCCTCCCACTGGGGTCCGCACTTCATGTTGGCAATCCGGGCGGGCCATCGGAATCCTGTAATTATCGTCGCTGTTCGGCTCCCCTGGGTTCAATATGGAGGAAGTCTCAGGTGCGAGCTTCGTCTTTGAATGAATTGCGAGGAACTCTTAGGCGGAAGCCCCCTCCCTATGAGGCCGGCACTTTATGTTGGTAATCCGAGCGGGTCATCGGAACCTTGTAACTGTCGTCACCTGTTCGGCTCCGCCCGATTGAATACCAAGGAAGTCTCAGGCTGGAGCTTCGTCTGTGTATGAGTTGCGAGGAAGTCTCAGGTGGGAGTTCCCTCCCTATGAGGTCCGCACTTCATGTTGGTAATCCGAGCGGGCCATCGGCACCGTGTAACCGTCATCACTTTTCAGTTCTTTTGGATTGAATATGCAGGAAGTCTCACGCCGGAGCTTCGTTTGTGAGTGAAGTGCGAGGAAGTCTCAGGCGGGAGCCCCCGCCTTATGGGGTCCGCACTTCACGTTGGTAGTCCGAGCGGGTCACAGGAACCCTGAACTTGTCGTCATTGTGCGGCTCCTCTGGATTGAGTCTGGACTCCATGGCTGAGGCGGAGCAGCTCGCGGCAGAGCTGAACTTCGTACTGCCTCCCGCGTGTGGGCGGCCTCATCCTCCTCCTCCTCCTCCTCCTCCTCCTCCTCCTCCTCCTTCCCCTCTTTCTCCTCCACCTCCTCCTCCTCCTCCTCCTCCTCCTCCTCCTCCTCCTCCTCCTCCTCCTCTTCCTCCTCCTCCACACTCGGTGCCTGCGGGGTTGTCCCAACGATTTGCTGTCGCGCCCCGACGGCTCGCGGGGTTGTCCCAGAGGCCGTTGCTCCGACGGCTTCGCGATTTGGCCCTCGGAGGACGCGCCCGTGCCGGGCGAAAATCGGCAAGCGCGCACTTGCCAGGAGGAAGGAGAGGTGCATGAGGAGAACAGGCGGGATAGAGATGAGGGAGGGAGGAGGAGGAGCTGGAGGAGGAGGAGGAGGAAAAGGACGAAGAGGAAGAGGAGAAATTTACCAAGGAGGGCGAGCAGGAGGAGGAGACGGAGGACGAGGACCACAAGGAGGACGAGGAGGAGGCGCGACAGAGGGCGATACGGGGGGCTTCGGCCAGGGCGAAGAGGAAAGAGCGAAAGGCAATCTCCCTGGAGGCCTTTCGGGGCGTCTTGGAGGCTTCTTGGGCCGTCTTGTGGCCATCGTGGGCGCCTTCGTGCGATTGTTTGGCGACTCGGGGCCCTCTGGGGCCGTCTTGCGGGCCTCTCGGGGCCCTCTGGGCCCGCCTTGGGGCCCTCTGGGGCCCGAAACGATCACGCGACAGCGCTTCCCTGAGCCCAGGGCGCACGCGCCAACCCCCGGGAGAGTTGACAACTTGGGGTCGGGGCTCCTTAAGAATCTTCCTGGTCGAGGGCTGCGGCTCCGGGGGTCCGGCAAAGTACCAGAGAGCACGCCCACCCCGTGCCCAGCGGCACGGTGGGTCGCGAAACGGCGGGGATGTCAGGGAACCTACACTTCGGGGCGAACCGCTCCGTGTCGTCATTGCCACTGTCACTGGTCTTCCCCCTCTTTCCTTGGCCTTACTCTCTCCTTTGTTTGGTGGGCAGCGCTCGCTCATCGAACACAGTTGTCTCCAGGTCGTGTGAAGCGTACAGACAAGAGGTTGAAATTGGGAACATGTTGGGTTCGGAAGCTGTTCGGTGCTCCTCGGGTGCTTTCATAGTTGTTCCGCAGGCGGTCTTCGCGCATGAAGGCGCGTGGAAGGCCAAGAAGGGGTGCCTCGTCTGGCTTCCCTTATGGTAGCAGTCTGGATGTATTGGTGGACTCTTGTAGCCATATTAGGACCTTCATGGGGCCCTGTTGGGGTTCTCCTGGGCCTCTATCGGGGCCCTCCTGGGGTTCTGTGGGGGGGGGGCGCTCTTGGGGCCCATGGGAGGGGCCTTAGGGCCCTCTGAAGACAGTCTTGGGCCCCGCTGTGGGTCCTTAGTTCGCCCCCACCCCTCGGATACAGACAAATTGCCTCTTGGGAGCCTCATGGAGGCTAATTGGGCCATCGACCGAAGCCCAATGGCCCAGGGTCTCCCGTTGGTGCAGGGGGGGGGGAACACCACGGGGGAGGAAGAGGTCCAATGGCACCACCCTTGTGGATGTCGCTGAAGCCAGTGATCCCGTGCGCGCACTCGTCCAGACTCGCACTCGCGCGTGCGCGCGCGGGCGGCAGTGAGCTGTGCCTTGGAGCGGCGTTTGGTGAGCGCTGCGCGTTTGGAGACAGGGGACTGGGTTGCCTCCAGGTACGATGAGGCTGAGCTCATCTGCCGCCGCGCCTTCGAGGCCACCGAGGCACAAGGGAGTGACGGGAAAGATGAGGTTGAGCAGGAGGTTGGGGGGGAGAAGGAGGAGGGGACCGAGGAGAAGAGGCGAGGATGGCGGCGAGGGAGAGGATAGAGAGGAGAAGGTATAGGAGGAGGAGGAGGAAGAGGAGGAGGAGGCGGAGGCGGAGGCGGAGGCGGAGGCGGAGGCGGAGGTGGAGGCGGAGGCGGAGGAGGAGGAGGAGGAAGAGGAGGAGGAGGAGGAGGGGGCACAACTGGAGGCATGCTGAACTTAGGCCTCAGTGGAGGAGCAGACTTCCCAGACGAGGTGATCCTGCGAAAGCGGCGGGATGACATCGGGCTCCTGACACATATTAGCTAATCAAGACATGACGCCCATGTGTGTTTCTATTTTTCTATGTCCCACCTTTCCACCTTTCCACACGGCCCAAGACCGGTTCAAGACGGCCACAAGAGTGCCCCCGATTGCTCGGCGACCCCATCCCGACTGCCCCGAGATAGCGTTTGCGCCAAGGTTCCCACTGGCGCAAATGACTTGTCCCGACGGCCCTGGACGGCCCAGCGAGAGAGAAAGAGAGAGGCAAGCGCCAGAGACTCCAGAAACTACGACGCCGCAGGCCGGGGGGGCCCTCGGAGAGAACCCTCTCCGCACAACGGGGCGGGGGGAGGCGCGAGGGGGGGGGGGGCGCACTGAGAAGGCGGGAGGGCTTCTGAGAAGGTGGGTGGCTTCTTCGCAGCCCTTCCGGCTTCCAAGAAGCCTCTTCGGAAGCACCCACGCGCTTCTCAGGGGGCTTTTCCCTCCCGCCACTCCCCCGTGCGCGCCGCACTCCGCCGCCGCCGCCGCCGCCCCCAAATCGGGGCATCGGGATTCTAGCCAGGTCATGCATCGCGAAGTCCCGCTCGTTGACCACGGGGTTCGGTACGCCGATCGTGAGGTTTCGCACGTAGATCGTGAGGTTCAGCACGAGGTTCCGTACGGCGACCGCCAGGTTCCGCACGATGATCGTGAGATTGCGAAGGGTCTGTACGCAGATCATGAGGTTCTGTGCGCAGATCATGGGAATCCGCACGGCGAGCGTGAGGTTCCACAGGACGATCGTGAAGTATTGCGCGTGGCTGATGGCAGGGTTCTGTACGCGGGTCGTGAGGTTCTTCGTGTGGGTCATGAGGTCGCACACAACTGTCGTCGGCAACACCCCAACATACTTATACTATATGTGCGTCGCCCCCCCAGGGGCGACGCGCGCACCGAGAAATCTTCTAGTATATGCGTCGTGGCGGGCGCTTTCTGGCCACACCGCTCGAGAAACGATATACTACAAGATGGGTATACTATATGTTCGGGTCGGACGCGCGCCTCCAAGGCGGACACATAGTATTAGTATGTCTCTGTGCATCCCATGTCGCCCTCGGTTCGGTGAACGGGGACTGCCCTGGACGCTGTCTCAAGGGCGACCATGGCAATGAAAATGGTGTCGTTTGATCGTGGCTGTATCCCATGTCGGACATTGTACCCCAAATCGTGTTTTGGGCCGCGTCTGTTCGTGCCCGTACTCTGCTATGCGTGTCTGGTCTCGGCATACTTGCCGGTAGATCTTCACCAGAGCGGGCAGGTCTCGTAGGCCTAGGCTCCGTTGGCCTCGAGGTGTGTCACGTCGATTTTGAGGATGGTCACGTGGACTGTGATGGATGTCTCGCTGATCTTGGCGATGCTCCCGTCGATCTCCATGCACTTCACCCTGGATCGTGCAGTACTTGAGCGCGAACGTACCGCACGGCGCGCCGTGCGCCGCGTGGCGCACGGCGCGCTTGGGCGGGCCTCCCCCCTCCCGCGGGTGGTGGGGAGCACCCGGGCGCAGGGGCCAGATGGCCCTCCTCCTCGTCCTCGCTCTCGTCCTCGTCGTCTTCGTCCCGCGGCCCTGACTGCCGAAGACCCCCCCCCTCCTTTCGGCGGCGAGCGAGGGGGGGAAGTGAGAAGGAGAAGGCCTTCTCTGAAGGCGGTGGGGCTTCTGAGAGGCCCTCGCGCCTCTGAGAAGTCTCTTGCGTCTTCGGGGAAGGCTCCGAACACTTCTCAGAAGACCGGGGGACTTCCGAGCCTTCCGAGAAGGCCCGCCCCTTCTTTTGGACGCCCGAGATGGGCACGGAAAGAATGGGTACGATGTCCAACAGCAGTTCCTGTTCATTCTGAACAAGATTCGCTGTCCGCGCCGCCGCGGCCTGTGTCCATTTGAGACAGAGGGCCGCCTGCCCAACAGCGGCCGCTGTTGGTTTGGGACAACATTTGCTGTTGGGCATTGTACCCATTCTTTCGGTACCCATTTCGGGCGGCCAAACTTCTCACTTCCCCCCCGCGCTCGCCGCCAATCCTTCCCCCGAGAGGCCGCCCTGGGCCCCACCCACCCGGACACCCTGACCGCCCTCAGCAACCTCGCGGCCACGCTGCAGATGCAGGGCAAGCTGGAGAAGGAGGCGCTGCCCCTCTGCCAGGTCCGAGCGGGAGGGGGAGGAGGACGAGGGTGGAGGAGGAGGAGGAGGAGGAGGAGGAGGAGGAGGAGGAGGAGGGGGAGGAGGGGAAGGAGGAGGAGGAGGAGGAGGAGGAGGAGGAGGAGGAGGAGGAGGAGGAGGGGGGAAGGAGGAGGAGGAGGAGGAGGACGGGGAGGAGGGGAAGGAGGAGGAGGAGGAGAAAGAGGAGGGAAGAGGCGGGAGGAGGATGGAGGAGGGGGAGACGGGAAGAGGCGGGCGGAGGATGGTGGAGGCTGGTGGATGGAGGATGACGGGGGAGGAGGGTTTTCCCCACTTCTTGCGGTGCGGGGCCGAAGGCGCTCCCGTCTCCATACCGTGCGCGCTGGAGTGCGGAGCGGTCCTGGTGTGCCGGCAGACCTCGCCCTGCCCCAAAGCACTGCCTTTCTCGTTCCCGGTGCTTTCCTGCCTGCCTTGGGGCACTGGCGGTGGGCAGCCGCTCCCTCTCCTGATGGGCCTGCTTTCCACCACTAAGTTGGAGGGGGGAAGGAAGGAGGTGGAGGAGGAGGAAGAGGAGGAGGAGGAGGAGGAGGAGGAGGAGGACCCCCTCCTCCTACTTATGGTGGCGGTGGTGGAAATTCAGTCCACCATCTCCACCATCGTCGCTGCACCCTTGTACTTCGTCCCTCGCCTGGTGGCACGGCTGCAGCGCCTCGTTGTCCGATTGCTGGTGGTGGGTATGCTGGTTGAGGAACGAGGAGTTAGAGGTGCTGCCGTCGAGCATATGATTAAGAAACCTCCCCCTAAAAGCTGGACCAGCGTTTCTCCGCCAATTTGCCCGAAAGCTGGCCCGGTTTCTTAAGCACGTTCGCCCCTCCAGCGTGACAAGAAAGATGCCAGCACAGGCTTGTTTCGAGGAGCCTCCTGAAGTTGGCCTTCGTAAATGATAATAGTATTGATAGTGTTTTTGGCCGTCGGCATCATCAGCATCATCATCATCATCATCATCATCGTCATCACCACCACCATCATCATTACCATCATCATCAGCAGCATCAGCATCATCATCAGCATCAGCATCATCATCATCATCACCACCACCATCATCAACATCGTTAAGATCGTCAGCATCAGCATCATCATCATCACCATCATCATCATCATCATCATCGTCATCAGCATCATCATCATCATCATCATTATCATCATCATCGTCATCATCGGCATCGTCGTCATCATCATCATCATCATCATCGTCACCATCAGCATCGTCATAACCATCATCACCATCGTCATCAGTATCAGTCAGCATCGTCAGCATCATCAGCATCATCGCTGTCATCAGCAGCATCATCATTATCGCCACCATCATCATCATAGTTGATAGTATCGACACCATCGTCGTCGTCATCATCATCATCAGCGTCGTCATCGCCGTCGCCATCATCATCATCATCATCATCATAATCATCATCATTGTCATCAAGATCATCATGATAATCATCATCAGTATCATCACAATCATCACCACTATCGCCATCACCATCATCACCATCATCATAATTATAATCATCATCGCCAGCAGCATCATCATTGCCATCACCATCACCGTCATCGTCGTCATCATCATCGTCGTCCCACCGTATCATGCTGCCTCTGTTGCCGTGGGTGCGGGGGGCGTTGCGGCGGGTCTTCGCCGCTAACTGACGCCTCGAGCCGTCGCTCCCGTGGCCTGCCCAAGAGGAGGAGGAGGAGGAGGAGGAGAAGGAGGAGGAAAAGGAGGAGGAGGAGGAGAAGGAGGAGGAGGAGGAGGAGGAGGAGGAGGAGGGAGGAGAAGGATGGAGGGTCCAGGAGAAGGAGGAGGAGCAAGAGGAGGAGGATCGATGAGGAGGAGGAGGAGGAGGAGGAGGAGGAGGAGGAGAAGCATGTGGGAGGAGGAGGAGGAGCAGAAGCCAGAGGAGGAGGAGGAGGGGGAGGAGAAGCAGCAGCAGCAGCAGCAGCAGCAGCAGCAGGAGACTCGAGGGCTCGAGAAATCAAGAAGCGCCAGCTGCTACGCCCGAGGAGCGGACTGCGCTCCGCGCAGGCCCATAGATCTGAGACGCACGGCCCCCCCTAGAGGACCAGGCCCCGCGACTGTCGGCCCAGGGGGGCGCCACGGCCCGATCTCGCACCCGATCCAATCTGCGGAGCCGAGCTCGCAGCGTTCCGAGCCGAGTCCAGCCGTGGTGACGCTGGAGGACAGCAGCGGCTCTCGCTGTGCCCGCCATGGACCGCGCCAAGCCGCGCTCACGACACCGCAGGGGCGAAGAGCAAAAGACGACCAAATTGAGTCCTCCACGGGCCGCGCCGCGCCCGTTCATGCGTCGATGCCCGTATAGATCCGGGTGTCCACGATGCATCTCCCTCGCCACCGGCTGCCCGACCCTCTTCGCCGCCAGCTTCAGCAGGAACGCGCCCTGCACTCCGCCGGTGAGCTCCCGAGTCGAGGTCACGCCCACACCTGGAACACAGGGCCTGACTTCTCTTCTCCGCCGCGGCTTCGCGATTCCTCCATGCAGTACCTTTCATTTTGCCCGTGGCCTTGCAGTCCGAAGCGCACTTGACGCTACAGCTCATCATCAGCATCCTCGGCGACTTTGCATCCAGTTTCAGCAAGCGCACATCTGGGCGGTCGGCCCCGGGACCATGGCCCGACGCCGCGCGCAGCCCCGAAGACGCAGCAGCAAGACCCAAGTCCATGCTTGGGCTCAGGACTGCGAGGAAGAGGAGGGAAAAGGGGAGTTAGAGAAGAAGCAGCAGACTTGGGATAAACAGGACTGATGGTGATGGGGATGAGGAGGAGGAAGAAGAGGGGGATAACGACGACGACGACGACCAAACTAGACAGGGAGGAGCAGGAGGAGAACGATGAGGAGGAGGAAGAGGAAGAAGACGAGGAGGAGGAGGAGGAGGAGCGGGAGGAGCAGGACAACGCAGGGAGAAAACGATGATGATGCGCTTGTTTTTGTTTGTGTTCCCCACCTCATCTGCGCGAAACGGTGGCTCCCATAGGGTTTCTGGGCACAAGGGGAATCGTGTGTCTCTCAGAGGTAAGCCTTCCTCTCGTGTTGCTCATTATCTCGCTGAGCCTAATACTAACATTCCTTTAATGCTCCTCATCATCCTATCTCCTCCCTCCTCCCAAGCTCGGGGAGGTAAGCATCCTCCGCCCATCCAGTTCCTGATCATCCTTCTCGTCATTGTTATCCCCTTGTTTTGTGGCCGTATCCATGCTGGGTCCAGCCGTTTTGGCTTAAGGTGGTTGAAGAACCCGCAAGCCCTTTCAAGGCAGCAGCCCGCCCCAGGCTGTCCTTCTGGGCGTCGCATTTTGCGAACTTGCTTTTCCACGTTCCCGCTACCGTGCAGCGCAGGCTGCAGGATCATCGGCATGTGTTATTCCTCGCGCCATGGGTCGCCGTTCGGACTTCCCTTTGCCCCCGCGAAGGAGGGAGGGCTCGTCCTGTCGCAGGGAGCATGGCAAGAAGAAGAAGGGTGGGCGTCGCTCTCGCTCGGACAAAAGATCGGTGCTGTCCACCATTTACACCGCGATCTGGCACGCCATCGCAAGACTCCCGTGGCATGACGAACGAGTTTCCCAGTTCTTTCACGGAGATCGTTCAGAATGAAGTTGCGGTTTCCATTGGCTGTCTTCGTAGCGAATTGCTCGTGGTTAAGAAAGAAGGAGGCGCAAGGTGATGCGCCATCCAGGCGAGCCTTGATTCACGAAAGGGAAGATCAGGTCAAGCTGAAAATGCGCTTGGACAAGCTCGAGCTCGAGTCGTTAACGGCATCGTCGACTCCGACTCCTGACCCATGGGCGGCGTCTCGTGGGAGCACACGTTTTGGGTCAAGCACGAGTGCCAGCAACGATGATGATCTCAATGTGTGTTCGTGGCTTTCCGAGGAAGCTGATCGCACCGCAGCTTAAGGACCAAATCATGACTGTCGTTGCGCCACAGCCCCACGAATATTTCGAGCGTTTGCCATGCCTGTGCTTCACAGCGGGTCGCACTCGTGCATGCTTATCTCCCTGGAGAAAAATGTTGCCCAGCATTTCAAGGACTTGGCGGCCGCGCGCCAGACGGCCATCGATTGGACCGACCTGAGGGACCAGAAGGCGCACGCCATCCGCGCGGGAGCCCGCAAGCCGCCCGAGATCAGGAAATGCGGATATGTCCTCAGCCACTTATGGAGGTTTGTCGAGCAGCGCCTGTTCGACACCAGCCGGCGGCAGGAGGGCGTCACAAGCTTTGGGGCCAACGCGCACGAGCGCACGCTGCACTTTTCGAACGGGGCTGAGGCCTGGAAACCCTTCAACGTCAAGGTGCACGGGAACTCCTGCAGCGTCGGGCACCAGCGTGAGAATTTGAATCTGGTCGCGATCGCGGGTGACATGGCCAACCAGGTGATCGCCGACCTCGCGCCACTGTAGGACGGGGACTTCGAGGACGCACCATATTGGGAATGCCAGCGGCTTTTTACCTTCGGCTGAGATCGCAGACACGCACTTGGAATGCGAAGGTGATTGTCAGCAGCGTTAATGATGGGCATCGCGTCATAGAAGAGACCAGGCGCGCCAAGTTCCGCTGCCTTTTGAACTCACGCGAGGTCGTCTGCTGCCAAGAAGCGCATGGCTCGGACGGGGGCCGGGCAACTGTGGAGCGCGACTTCCCTGGTCACCTGTTCCGCGGGGGCTTCTGCGCAGAAGCGAGGGTCGCTGACATTCCGGCCGCGCTCTCGCCTGGGCCCGCCGAGCTCTTCAACGCCATTAGTTGCCTTGCTTCACTCCATGGGCGACGCCATGTTCTCGCGTGTCGCGGCCCCGACGGAGCGCTTCAATTCCGCGCCCTACGTCGCCCCCTCTCTAACCTCAAAGGGTCTTTGAGAACCCCCGGGCAATAGTGGGAAAATATTTAACTTGTCTGCCAGCTTATTGACGGATTGGGACCTCGACAATAATTGGAAATTAATTGTTCTCGTCGGCGGATGCATGAGAGGTCATGGGAAGTGCTCAAAAATCGCATCGCTCAACGCCTGGCGGCCACCTCCTCCTCCTCCAGAAGAAGGGGGGGGTGGGGGTGGGGGGGGAGGGGGAGGAGGAGGAGGACGGAGGGGAAGGAGTAGGGGGGGGAAGGAGGAGGAGGAGGAGGGGCGAGTTTCTATTCCCCGCCGAGAGCTTAGGGGGGGGGGGGGGGGGGGGGCATCATTAAAGACCCTCTGCGGTTAAGCCGACCCGGGAAGCGAGGTCTTCTGCGCCGAGTTCGCAATTATTTGTTCGGCCCTGCGAATGCCTCGCAATCTTCGCTGGCGGCTTCAACGTTCACGCCGCGGCAGAGGCGCGCCAATGTCGCGATGGGGCCGTTCGTGCGACATGAAACAAGCTAGCCGAGTTTGCTATAATACATTGCCTGTCTTCTTCGGCGATTGGATGAAATGTGCGCGCGCGAAAGGAGGAGGTGGGTGGGCGCGTTGTAGCGATGGCTCGTCCTGCTCGCGCGCGTGCCCGACGTTCCCCTGCAGGTCCCAACGGTTTTTCGGCCGGCAACGGGGGCGGTTGGGCCCGGGGGCCCGCCGTGGCGCAGACATCGCGCGCTCGTCGCTCTCGGGCCGGGAGCGCGGCGCGCCCCTCGCGCATAGGCGGCATTAGGCGCGCCCCTCGCCGAGACCACGCCCATTCTCGGCTTAGGCGCGCGCCCAGGCCGCGGGGGGCGGGGCGCTTCGAGCACCTGCGAACGCTCGCCCAATCTCGCTGTCGAGCTTGCGCAACAAGACCGTTGCCGCTGGCGTCGCTCTGCCGCGGGCGCCCGTCGCAATGCGCGCTGCTGCCCCTGTCAGCGCGGCTCCGTGCCTGGCCGCGACGTCGCTGATAGCGCGCGGGACCCGGGGTCCGCCTTACTGGAGCATGGCGCGATCTACGGGGGGAGGAGACATGCTATTTGTTGTTTGCGAGGTGGAAGCTGCGCCGTCGGTCACCCCTGCGCCCAGCGTGCTTCGCACTTGCGTTGGCGACGCGGGCCTGACCAGTGCTGATATGCGCGCCGACCTACAGCCTGTGCTTCGCCAGTGCGTCTACGCGGCGGGGGCGGCTGGCCCGGCTTTCAGTTTGCCTCAGAATGCGCAGCGCATGCTTTCCCAGCTGAGAGAGATTACACAGGGGATTTCCCGGCGCGCGGGGTTCGCGTTCAACGTTTCCGCACTAGTTCTAAAACGCGTGATTTGAGCGTCTGGAGCGGTCTTCGGCCTCGGCGCGCGCGGCGGCGCGGGGCAAGCCCCCCGCTGGGCGCCGCAGTCGCGGGCCCCCGAATGGGGCGCAGAACAGGGCCCTCGCGGGCAACGTCGCGGCCCGCAACGCGCGCGGGCTCGCTGATTTGCCTTGCGCCGCGCAGTTTCGCCCCCCCGACAGGAACGCCCTAAACGCACACACGCAGAGAGAGAGAGAGAGAGAGAGAGAGAGAGAGAGAGAGAGAGAGAGAGAGAGAGAGAGAGAGAGAGAGGAGAGAGAGAGGAGAGAGAGAGAGAGAGAGAGAGAGAGAGAGAGAGAGAGAGAGAGAGAGAGAGAGAGAGAGAGAGAGAGAGAGAGAGAGAAAACAAAGAGAAAGAGAAAAGAGAAACGAGAAAGAGAAAGAGAAAGAGAAATAGAAAGAGAAAGAGAAAGAGAGAGAGAGAGAGAGAGAGAGAGAGAGAAATAGAGAGAGAGAGAGAGAAAGAGAGAGAGAGAGAGAGAGAGAGAGAGAGAGAGAGAGGAAAAAAAGAGAGAGAGAGAGAGAGAGAGAGAGAGAGAGAGAGAGAGAGAGAGAGAGAGAGAGAGAGAGAGAGAGAGAGAGAGAGAGAGAGAGAGGGAGAGACAGACAGACAGACAGACAGACAGACAGACAGACAGACAGACAGACTGACTGACTGACAGACAGACAGACAGACAGACGTTGCCCAGCCGCTCACTGCGCCGCCGCGGTGCTCGGCCCCCACCGATTCGCGGAAAGGCCCGAGCGAGCGAAGTTCGTCTCTCGGTCGAGGCGCGGCCCCCCCCGCTGGCGCGCGAGGCTGCCCGACGCCGCGCGGCGCGCTGCTCGCCTGTCGTCCACCGAGGGCGCGAATGTTTCGAGCGGGCCGCAGACGGCGACAAGCGCACTCTGATCCCGAGCCCCCCCGAGCGGCGAGCCCATGGCATCGCGCGCCAGACGGTCGCGACGCATGGCCGCCCCACGGGCCATCCCGAGGACTCCGAAGGACCGCGTGCTGAGCCCCAGAAGAAGACTGCGCGCGCCCCGAGGCCTTCGCATGTTTGGAAAATTCCCAGCAGCCGTTCTCTGTCTTAGGCTCCAATGTTGGCCCCGCGAGGCCCCCTTGCCAAAAGCGGGCGATGTCATGTCTCAGTTGAGGTTCATCATGAGCTGGGCCCTTCCCGAGTTTGTCGGCGTCGAGTGTTTCGGGCACGACTTGCAACTCCAAGCCCGCGCCCCGGCGGTTCCGACAGGAGGCCCTTTCGCGCAGATTCGGGGTGCCAGGCTGTAGGCGGTGATTCGCCACTTGAGCACTGCCTCGTCTGCCCCGCTCTCGTCTCCGCAGCTGCGCGCCTCCTGCCGTCTCTCCCTGCCGCTTGGCCCCCCCAATCACTCCATGAGCGCGCACTTCTGCGCAGGCGCGCGCGGGGCGCGGGGGAACAGCTTCGCGCCCTCGCAGTGGCCATTGACATTGCTCTCGCGCCCGTTTAACGCCCAGCGCGTTGCCGACGCATTTGGCCCCCATCGGGCCGCGCAGCGTGTCGACGGCATGTCTCGGGCCCTCAGGCAGGAGGGCCGCCGCCCTGAGAACGCTGTATGTCTCGTTGCGCGAGCTCGACAAGCTTCTTCTCCACACTGTTTTGTGCATGCTGCCTCAGCCCAGACGGTGTAGATGCGTTGGACCAGTGCCCCGCGCACCCTCACCAGACGCGGCTGTCTTTTTTGCCCCTGACACGGAGACCGGCACATCATCATACAGTTTTCATCCTCGTCCTCACGCTCCTCCTTCTCATCCTGCTCCTCCTCTTCACCCTCCTCCACATCACCGGTCTTTTCCGTGTTAGACGGCGTTTTCCGTTGACCAGGGGGTGGTTGGTTTGAGTTGTCGCACCCCGTTCCCAAGGTTTTCCCAAAGATGGACCTAATCCACCTGTTCGCTTGATCACGGCCCCCTCGATCGCTCGTTCTCTCGCGCGAGCGAGCAAGCGGAGTGGGCCACTCCTCGCTCGCCTGCTCGCTCGCGGAGAACGAGCGAGAGTGGCGAACGAGCAAGCGGACAGGGCCACTCTTCACCCGTTCGCCTGCTCGCTCACATGCTGGCCCGCTCGGGGCAAGCGAGGAGACGAACCAATTGCTCACTCCTTCATGGCGAGCACGCAAGCGGGCGGGCACGAAAACGAGTGGGAGGCGACCCAGCGTGCTCGCTCGCCACGAGCGAGCGAATGAAAAGCGGCCTTGCCCCCCCCCCCCCCCCCCTCCCTCCCTCCTCCCATCCCCTTCCTTCGCCCCCCGCCCCATCCGCCCTCCCCTCCTCCATCCCCCCCCCCCTTCCTTTGCGGCGAGCGAGCGACCTCCCCCCCCGTCCCTCCCTCCTTCCTTCTCCCTCCCCCCCTCCCTCCTGCACCCGCTCGTTCCCGACATTGCCGTACAGTCGGGGCCCTGAAGAAGGAACGCTTTTCGTTGGGGAGGGGCTCGGTGTTCCTTGATTGTTTTACCGTCTGACTCGGGTTTCTTTTAGGTTCTTGCATGGGAAGTCGAAGTTAAACTTATGGAAAAGAGGGGCCCCGTTCCTCATTTAGGGTTCCTTAGGTCAACGCCCCGACTGTAGGGGGGGGGGGGGGGGGGGGGCACGCGAGGCCGGGAGGCGCCCGCCCCCGCCCCCAGGTCGCGCTCGACGCCCGAGAGGCCACGCTTGGGCCGAGCCACCCGGAGACCCTGGCGTCCCTGGAGAACCTCGCCGCGCTGCTGCAGGACCGGCCGTGGCCGGCAGGGGCACCCTTGGGGCCTCCGGGGCCTTGGCCGGGATGGTGCGAAAGAGGAGGAGGAGGAGGAGGGGGAGGAGGAGGAGGACGAGGAGGAGGAGGAGGAGGAGGAGGAGGAGGAGGAGGAGGAGGAGGAGGAGAGGAGGAGGAGCGGAGGAGGAGGAGGAGGAGGAGGAGGAGGAGGAGGAGGAGGAGGAGGAGGAGGAGGAGGAGGAGGAGGAGGAGGAGGAGGAGGACGAGGAGGACGAGGAGGACGAGGAGGAGGAGGGGGAGGAGGAGGAGGAAAAGGGGATAGAGTAAGGAGGGAGTGAGGAGGAGGACGAGTAGAAGGAGGAGGGAGGGGGCAGGAGGAGGAGGAGGAAAAGGTAGAGGATGACGTGGAGGACCTGTGTAAACCCAAAGCTCATCGACGAGGATGCAGTAAACCCTCCCTCAAAATTCCCTCCTCAGATGTAAGTGGCCCGCTAGACCACAGTCGTTTCAGAGTCCTCAATCGTGCCAGAACGCCGCTGTTGTTTTTTTGTCGCCGCGGATCATCGTGACGGCTGTGTCCTCACAATCTTACATCGCGTCAGAACACCGTTCTTGGGACTCAAACTCTGCGAATTAACGTTGTTGTTGCGTCCAGACAGTTCCCAATCGCGCCAGAACACAACTCCCAGGACTTCGGCCGTACGAGTACTTGAACACGCTGCAGTATTTCAAGACGAATGCGCGCGGCGCTAAGGCGAGAGCCACATGTTGAAAACGACCCGCCTTCCATCCGTGAAACTGTTCATTTGTGTACGACGAATGCGCGCGGCGCTAATTTGAGAGCCACAAGTTGAAAATGACCTGGCCTCCATGAGTAAAACTTCAGCCGTGTTTTAAGACGAAGCGCGCGACGTTACAGCGAAAATGACATTTCGAAAGGACCCGCCCTCCATCCGTGAAACTGATACATCTTTTGAGCTTCAGGATCATAAATGGCAAGGAATTCAGGCGAAACGCCCGACCCGCCCTACCGACACGCCTGCGGGTGTTGAGACAGGGAGGAGTTATGTATAATGAGAAGGGATGGAGGAGGAAGAGGGAGGAGGGAGGATGGGGTGGAGGAGGTAGGAGGGAGAAGGGAGGAGGGGGGAGGGGGAAGGGAGGGGGGGCAGGGAGTCAGGAGGAGGGAGGAAGGGAGGGAGGGAGAGAGGGAGGAGTGAGGAGCCGGAGGAGAAGGAGGAGGAGGAGGAGGAGGAGGAGGAAGGACGGCGCAGCGCCAGTGGACGTCCAGCGCTGTCCTGCACAGCGTGCCTTCGGGCAGGACGCGGGGTCTCGCTGAGTCGTTGGCAGACCATTTGGCGAACATATATATATATATATATATATATATGTACATATACACATACATAACACATACGTGTACATACATATGTGTGTACATGTATATATGTGTGTACATGCAGATACGTTCAGACGGACATATGCATATGTATATACACATGCGTGTACGCATGCGTATACCTATACATGTATGCATACATGCACAGAATCATAAAGATCTATTCATACTCGTATACATAAACATAAATTTTGACATACATATATCAGTATGCATGCACCCATGCATCTACATATGCATGTACGTGCACACACATACATACATACACATACACGTACACGTATACGTATACACATGCACGTACACACATATACATTCATGTACATTTACATATACGCATACTGATATATATATATACGCACATATAAACATACACATATACGCGTAACCATATACGTGCACCGACGCGGATGCACACACGTAGACATGTACATCGACAAATACGCGTACGTGCGCGTGTGCATATACGTGCATATTCACACAACTTCATACACATCTACATATACATGTGCATGTGCATATGCACGCACATACACATATGCATATACATAATGATCATAGGGGACAGAGTTATGATATCCCTCTTGAAGGCCTGCAGCTGGAAACGTTGACTGACTCAAACGAGGGCTGACTCTTGTTTCGGACGCGAGACTGCTCCTAGCGTGTTGCTTCCGATGTCTAAAACAAATCACGTTTGCCTGAGCCCATCTATCACACAGTAGGCGGTCAAAAGGGAAAGCTCGCCACTGAAAGACAGGCCCAGTGTGGAGAGGGTGGGGGACCCCAGAAAATGTTTGAGAACATACACTTGCAGGGCCCCGCCCACCCATGCTCAGACTCAACATCTCATTGATACACGTGCATGCTGCTCTCTCCCACCATGATCATAGGAGGGCTGGAGGTATGACACATCTGGCACAAGCTGGAGTCAGCCCGTACCCGCTCCTGGGAGAGTCATTAGCGAATTGAGAAACCACATGCGAGCACGGCGAGGGCGGCATGCCCTATGCAGTGGCACGCCATCAAAAACTGCCGAAACGCCCTCCGGACCCGGGCCTCGAGGCCCCCGGAAACGAGAACAGAGGCCACGGGGTCTTTCTGTGCTTGCCAGTGGGGTAGGGCGAAAGGGAGCCGGGCGAGAGAGTTATTGAGGGCCTCGGAGATCTGCTCATGCTCAGCGCTGCGGTTTCACTCGAGTGCTGACCAGAGAGGGTTCACCCAGGCACACTCAACCATCGCTTCTGTTGCGCTCCACTGGAGGCCTGAGCGGCCTTGCCTCGAAAGTGAAAGCTCGGAAAGACCTTGGCATGACAGTGAACAGTTGGAGCCGGCCGCCAGCGGCTGGCGCAAGGCCGGAGGCGTGGCCGCAGCAATCAGCGCGACCTTCTCCGAGGCGGACGTGCCAACACGAGCTACGCATCGTCCTGGGATGCCTCCAGCCGGGACGCCAGCCAGTCGCCGTCGTCGGCCACTGTCCGGCGCTGCCAGGCCGTCACCGATACATTGAAGATGCCCGCGCCTCGCCAGGCTTCCCTCGAGGTCGACAGCGACGATTTCGCAGCCCCCAGGAAGAACGTCGAGGCCGAAGAGGTCAGCGGGGAAGCCGCACGGATGCCTGAGCTCCCCACCGAGCTGGCCGACTCGGCGCCGGAGGCCACGGAGCCGAGCGCCGCCGAGGCGCGTGACGGGGGCCCCGCTCCCAACCAGGAGGCCAGGACGAGCACGGCCGTGGCCGCGCCACCTCTGGTCGGCGTGGCCACGGCCAGTCCAGCTCCGCTCCGGCGCCCCAGGAGGGAGGAGGGAGGAGGGAGGAGGGAGGAGGGAGGAGGGAGGAGGAGGGGAGGAGGGAGGAGGGAGGAGGGAGGAAGGAGGGAGGAGGAGGAGGAGAGGAGGAGGGGAGGAGAGGAGGGAGGAGGGAGGAGGGAGGAGGGAGGAGGGAGGAGGGAGGAGGGAGGAGGGAGGAGGGAGGAGGGAGGAGGAGGAGGGAGGAGGGAGGAGGGAGGAGGGAGGAGGAGGAGGAGGAGGAGGAGGAGGAGGTGGAGGAGGAGGAGGAGGAGGAGGAGGAGGAGGAGGAGGAGGAGGAGGAGGAGGAGGAGGAGGAGGAGGAGGAGGAGGAGGAGGAGGAGGAGGAGGAGGAGGAGGAGGAGGAGGAGGAGGAGGAGGAGGAGGAGGAGGAGGAGGAGGAGGAGGAGGAGGAGGAGGAGGAGGCCGCGCGCGCCCGGCCCAGGCCCTGGCCCCCCCGGGCGCGTGGCTGCGGCCGAGCGGCTCGGTGGCCGCCGCGCGCGGGTGCCCCGCCGCGGCCCCTGCGGCCGCCGGCGCCCGCGCCAGCACGCCCGCCGCCTCGCGGGACCTCGGCCTCGGCCGCGCCCGGCGGCAGCTGCTCGGTCTCCGTCGCCTCCCGTGCCTGCGCCGGCGGCGGCTCCGCCACTCGGTGGGGGCGGGGCGCTGCCGCTGCCGAAGGCCCCGCGGAGGGCCGCGGCCTCGGCGCCCGGCTCTTGCGCGGCTCCGCCGGCGGGATACGGGGCACTAATGCGCCCTCCTCGTGCTTCTTCCAGCCGGTTGGCGGCATCGAAGCAGCCCTGTGGGAAGTAGAGCTCGAACTTGTCGCAGGCCCAGATGATCGCCTTCGACAGCCCTGCGCCCGCGCACCTGGTGATGGCGTCGCTGGCGGCCACCACGTCGGTGTAGACCCTGGTGGAGCTCTCGGAGATCCACCTGCCCGTTTCCTTGATCTCGGTGAAAGGCACCCCGTCCGCCACCGAATCGGAAGCGAACCCAGCTCGGGGAGAATGGGGTGTCCACCCCGCGCGCACGCCCGGGCTCCCCTCAACGGTCTTGAGCATGCGGCGGTAGCGGTCGATCGAGTAGGGGAAGAGACAATCGGACGTGTGTGTTTTTTCGGCAGAGACCATCGAGGAGCACTCCAGGTCATCTTGCGAAAACAAAAACAAAAAAAAACAAGAAGAAGAACAAACAAAAACACGCACGAAGCTGAAACACGGACGGGGGATGGACGTCCGAGCGATGGCGAGGTGCAGACGGCCTTTGGAATCTCGGGCAGCAGAACTCCACGCTCGCCGGCCGCTGCGTGAGTTGGCTGCGCAAGAGACCTGCCTCATGCTCGAGATCCACGACCAGGTCGTCCCAGGCCTCAGCGCAGCCCGGCCGGAAGTGGCACTCCTCCAGCCACGTGGAGAGCGGCCTCCCGGAGGCTTGGTGCCTGGCGAGCGTCACCAGGACGAGCTTGCGAAGCTGACGCGGATCGAGGCGCCGTGGCCCCGTCGCTCCGCTCCGCTCCGTGTTCGTCTGCACCAAGCAAACGTGAGACCCACTCAGCAGGCTGCTTTCAGGAGGGGAAAAACACACACAGACACAATGAATCGTCGACTCTCAGAAAAATATGGGAAAATATAGGGGAGTGGGGGGGGAGACAGAAACCCAGAAAACATGGGAAACTATGGGGAGTCCTTTTATTTGTGTGTATTTATTTGTGTGCCTCAGGGCCCCCTCATGCTTACCCGTCTCGATCCACGGGATGATGAGTCGAGTCCTGGCCGCCAGGCAGGCGGCAGTCGTTTGTCGCAGAAGACGGCTGACCTCGAAAGCCGGAGATCGCCCCTTCATCATGGCCCCTGCCACGGGCCTTCTTGCATCTGGTGCGCGAGGGCCAGCCTGCGCGCCAGCCTCACCACTGCTCGGCCTTCTCCCGAGGTGATGTGATCCGCACGGGCCCAACGGCCGTGCTCTACCACCTTCCAGTCAACCCGAGCGTCGAACAACTCCTGAGGTAACCTGGTGAATGGTATGGTGCGCCTGATCTCCTTCTCGGGGACCTTCAAGCCCGCGAAACTGCCGTCCAGCCTGGCCACCGTGAACCCTACGGCCTCTCCAGCGTCCACGGATTCGAACTTCACTTTGTCAGCGACGTTCCCCGCCACGATACCGCACCCGCCGTTGCCCAGCTCCGAAGCGCCCATGGCGTCTGTGGCGACGCACGCGTTCGACAGCGGCGGCCCGAGGCCGGCGATCATGACGAGGACGGCCCTCGCCATGGCCCGCAGCTCCCTCCTCCTCCTCCCCCCTCCTCCCCCTTCCCCCTCCTCCTCCTCCTCCTCCTCCTCCTCCTCCTCCTCCTCCTCCTCCTCCTCCTCCTCCTCCTCCCCCTCCTCCTCCTCCCCCTCCTCCCCCTTCCCCCTCCTCCCCCTTCCCGACAGCCATGATCGGGCCCAGCGTCCGGGGAGCAGGCCGAGGATCTTGAAGACAGCGGAGGGAATGCTGAGCAGGTCCCTCCTCAGCAGCGCGACCCAGATCCGAGACCCCACAATCGATCGTACGCCGTCGGTGTGGACCCGCTCGGCCCTCGACAGCCGCTCCAGCTCCTGCACGGTGGCCGCCCTCTTCTTCTTGGGCAGCCTCAGGCTGGCGGGCCGTTTGATCACCTCGTAGCCCACCACCTTCGTCAGCTCCTTCTCCGGGGTGCGGTCGTCCACGATGAAACCTACTGCCTCCAGCTCGTCGGCGAGCTGCTCCATCAGCCTGTTCGCGGCACCGGGGCGCTCTACCGAGCCCGTGCACGCGCCGTCGTCAACATGCAGGTAGAGACCCAGATGCCGCTGGCGTGGGACCAGACCACGGCCTCGCGCTGCGTCTTCATTTCGGATGGCCACCGTCCGGTGTAGCGAGCACCGCCCATCCCACGCCGAGACCCTGGGCCGAGCGCCCTCGGGCACCTGGCCACTGGTGGGCCCGGCGTTCTCGGCGTGGAACCGCCGCAGCGTGTCGAAGATCACGGAGGCATCCTGTCGCAGAGCTCCCTGGGATGGGCCTGCAGGCTGCTGGTGCGGGACGACCCACTGCTATCCTGACCATGTAGCTCCCCCAGGGTCCTCTGGGTGCTCCGCGAGGTGGCGGCCTCCGCTCACGACGACCGCCTCGCACGTGGCCATGAGGTTCACAGCGAGCACGCCGGCCTCGAAGGCTCGGCGCTGCTCCGAGGGTCGGCGGTGGGGCAGACCCCCCGGCCCAGCGGCCGCGCCGACGAACAGGCCGAGGTCCCAGGTCAGGGCGACTGTGGCGCACTCGTAGAGAACGGCGGCCCCCCCAGGACGACGTCAATGAAGCCACCCTCACACAGGCCGTCAGCTCGGCGAGCGTGTCGGGCTTTGGGTGTAAAGCCCCAGGCCGCGTCCTCCGCCAGGTCCACGGACAGGAGCAGCAGCCCCAGGTCAGCCTCCTCGCAGCGGGGCTCCAGCTGCGCCTGCACGTCGTGACTCCGACGCTCGCCCGCGAGCAGGCGCATGACCACGAGCACGCGAGTGGTCCGACGACGCGCCGCACTGACGGCACGAGCCCAGCTTGCAACGGTGCAGCTTGACTGCCCCGCGCCCTTCGACTCGGCCACGTCGTTCTGCTTCGCCCACGCCTCGTCGTCCACGTCCAGGACCGGGAGGTCATCGTCCTCGCGCAGGTCGCACTCGTCTGGGAGGGCCGGCTCGTCGGCGTCGCTCTCCTGCGCGAGGCGCGCCCCGCACACACCCGTGACCTTGAGTGCCCGACCTGTCGTAGTGAGGCTGATGGGCATCAGGATGTGCACCGAGTGGGAGCCGCCCATAGCCAGGTGGTGATGCAGTGGCGCAGCCCAGCCTTGCTCGGTGACCTCCTGTCGCACCTCTGGGGCCAGAAGCTGCCACACTCGCCAGGCCTTCAGAGTGGCTTGCCAGCGGGCGTACCACGGCGGCACCCGGATCCTGGTGAACGCGTTGTTCTCGTCGAGCGCCGCAGTCTCCCAGTGGTCCGCTGGCACCACCACTTGTGCGAGGGCCTCTCCCCCAGCCAGGCCGTGGTCGGCCCGCTCCCTGGGGTCCATCCACATGTAGTTGGCAGGAACGTTCATCAGCACCTTCCGCTGCTTTGGGGGGTCTAGGCACCGTGCTGAAACCGCCGAAAGCCATAGCATCGGAGGCGGGGACGAACGACCACATCCCCTGCGGAAGGTCCTCGCGGTACAGGTAGGTGGGGTTGTCCTCTTCCGTGCCGTTCACGAACGCGTCCTGGTCTTCCAGCTCGCAGAGCACGGCATCGGTCTTGCCAACGTAGGAGGCCACGTTGAACTCGCGCTCGTAGAAGCGTCTCTCGTGCTCCGGTAGGGCCGAGAGCATGTCCACAATGGAGTCGTTTTTCGGCTCGTCAATGTCGAGAGGCCGCATCGGCTCATGTGCAACGCGCAGGGCCCCCGGAGTTCGGGTGTAGCTCTAAGGGCTCGCGACCTCTCGAACGTGTCCATCTGGTGGACCGCCTGTCAGGCCGAGGCCCCGGCAATCGCGCGCGAAGCTAGCCGCCTCATTCAGCACTAAGGCGTGCACGCTCCTCCAAGCCGCCCTCGTCGTGATAGATGTCCCAGCCGTGCGGCTTGTCGGCACCGTCCGAAGGTGGGTGGCCCGCGTCCAGGCCGTTAATCAAGTCAACCATGCCGGCTGCTCGTCGCAAGACGCGCATTCGTCGCGCCATGCGGGGTGTGGAGGCGCCCACTGCGGGTGCCTCCACGATGAAGAGGTCGTGCTGGTAGAGGTACGGGACACAGGGCATCCTCCATCACCAGCAGGTCCTGGAAGAGCTCGGC